GCCCCAGTAGATAGTTGTATGTCATAGCTGCACATCCTTCTAGTTGCTGTATGTGGGACGCGGCCTCAGCATGGCCGGAGAAGCGGTGCATCGGTGCGCGCCCAGGATCGGAACCCTGACCGCCAGTAGCTGAGCGCGCGCACTTAACCGCTAAGCCCCGGGGCCGGTCCCGTTGGCATTGTTTTAATGGTAAAATTGCTTGGAGTTCTAAATTAGAATGATTCCAACCAAGCTACATTTCTCCCTCTCTTCTCAGCAGCAGTGACTCCACCGGAATCAGAATTGGCCTTAGTGCTGCTGGAGTGAGCCATGGAAAAGATGGGATAGGGGTTCTTCCAGCATATGTGTTCAGTGGTTAGGGATGCCCAGGTACCAATTGATATTAATCACTGCATAGTTTTCTAAATCAGGGAACGAAGAGGGCTCTGACTTAGGCTTCCTCCACCTTATCACATGTGTGTGGATGATTCATGAGTCAAGTTCATGATCAGAAAGACCTGCTATAGTCTCTCCATTTCCATAGCATCAACACAAAACCAGTGGCTTGAAACATGAAGGTGCTTCACATAAAAATTATTTGAATTGCTAATTACAGACCTTGCACCTGAATTTTCCCTAAAGCTAAAAAAATGGCCCTTCAAAAATCCTTCTTCCTTTGGTTCTTCTGGTTCTGTACACCATAACTGAAGCTAAAATAAGCTTTCAAAGATTAATAAACAATAAAGAGAAACACATTTGCTTCCCGGAAATACAATTTTATTATTTTACCATGCAAAAACCCAGCATAAATGTAATATTATCCTGGAAAAATATCCCATCTTGAAATAGTAGAGAAGTGATGAGGAGTCAGGGGGCTAGAGCTCCATTCAAGAAGAATTTTGATCTTTGTTTACTTGTTTTCTCAAGCCAGGAATTCAAATGATGAAAGCTGGAATTTTTCTAAAGATTGTCAGAGGGCCAGGATTAGCTGCGTAACTATGTAGGTATCGGATAGACAATTACTGTTGAGTTAGTTATTGAAGAGCAGGTAGGCTTAAAGGTAATATCTCTCATCTGATCCATCAAGGGTGGGAAGAGTTTGCACATGTTTCCGAACCCCTGCGAATGTTTCCTGCTGCTCAGCAGCAGGAGGTCCTGCAGATGGTGCGGCAGGGGGCCGGCTGGCAGCAGGAGGGGCGGTAGCAGGGGGACTGCACAGAGATGGGCCGGCAGCAGGTGGAGGCCCAGCAGCGGGGCCGGCAGACCACGGCCGTGCAGGACGTGGGGCAGCAGGTGATGGGGCGGCAGCAGCCCTCCTGCAGGGAGCACGGGTCACAGCAGAGGGGGCGGCGGCTGGGCTCGCAGATGGTGCGCGTGTAACGGGGCACGCAGGTCACGGGGCGGCACACGGTGGTCCGGCAGGACACCGGGCGGCCGCAGCAGGGGTCGCGGCTGAAGCAGGGCTGGCAGCAGCCTCCCCCAAGGCTCCGGGAGGAGAAGGAGGAGCCACAGCAGGAGCCGGTCATGGTGGTGTCTGGGCTGGGCTGGGTTGGGCTGGTGAGAGGAGTTGAGTGTTCTCAGGTGTGAATGTCTTCCTCCTGCTCTGCGCCCTTTATATACCCTGCCCGGGTGCTGATGACCCCCAGGACACACGGTCATTTCCTGGAGTCGTGGTTGCCCATTGAAATGAGAACTCTAGATTGGTGGATTCAGTTGCTGAGGTAGCAATTCCAACATCACTGAAGGATGCTTTCCTTTCTTCCTGTTTGCTTTTTTGCTTGAAATGAATACTTGATAATTTATATCATCAAAAATATTACTCATTGAATAGCCAATCCTTCCCAGCCATGTCATGTAACAAGTTGAAAGTTTGAAGACTCCACTGTTGCCACCATCACACTTTCCTCTTGTTCACCATCCATGACTGTGAGACTATAATGTTCATGAGGTCATGGGCCTGGTTTCTGATTGACCTTGAGATGAAGCAAGAATTTCTGAAAAACCGAAATGGCTCATAAAAGGAGATGTATACCACTTCTGCTTTGGAAAGAATGGCCCAGTGCTTCTGTAAAACAACATATTGCTTCACATAAACATACTGTTTATAAGGAAATAAGCACCAAAGCCAACAGAGTGATATTGTTTAGAAACTGAGTTGGCCTATAACTCATAGTGACTTATGAGACACTCACTATGTAAACAGTGCTATACTATAGTTTCTCATCACACAGTAATTGCAAATTTTAGGGAGGCAAGACAAAGGCAGGGAAAACAATTAAAGGAGAACTTTTCATGGGACAGTAAGGTAAAACTAAATGAAGATTTAATTCATATCATACCTTTTTGAACGCCCTTCCCTGAGCATGGTCTTAGAAATAAAATTGAAATTGGAGTATTTCTTGTTTTCTAGGTGTGACAAAAGCACTTGTGTTGAGTTCTTCAAAACATACTGAAAATATTTATAAAAGAATCAATTATCTTTCAGTAGTAGATGCTTTCATTTATTGGCTGAGGGTTTTGATTGCATATGAAGGGTGAAGGTGAGCTTCTGAAAAGGATAAGCAGAATTAATTAACTGATGACTGATAAAATAGCTTTGTCGTTTTCAGCCACAGCTCAGAAAAGTGGGAGTATAGAAAATACATTTATAGTTGGAATGTAGATTAAAGATAACATTGTGCAAGGGTTGCTGATGGCCCTCAGACAAAATTTGTCTCCGAAGTGTGTTTTATTTGGTGTGATCGCTTTTTATACACTCTTTGGTCCACCATAGCTCTGGTCCTTGAAGGTTTTTGAATTTGTGACCCATCACCCAGTTTTTGGCAGGCCACATTTGTGAAATGATTTCTCCAGGTCATCCAGATAAAAGAGTGGCAAAGCTTTAACAATAACTCAGGTTTTCTGTTGCGTATAAACACTGATGACTGACCTCTGGTCTTTTTCCAACTCTGAGTCACTTCAAAATCGTGAACATGGAGTAGTAGTTATCAAAAATTCTATCCCATCTAGTGAAATAAAAAGAACTTGCTTGATTTATGGTTTAGCATATTGTTATTTCAGTTAGAATGTATACAGAGATCCAAATACTAGGAATAAGAGTATGTCTAAGTTACTGCTTTTGTTAACTAAGGAAAGGACATAGTACTAAGAAATCTTGTGTGCTAAAATCATAGACCATCAGAAACTGCTGTTTAAAGTCACATTAGTAAGAAAGGAACATTCCACTATCTCATGGATGGGATCTTAATCACCTTAACACAGAGAAGCAGCCCCAAAATCCAACCCAGAGGTAGAGCCTCAGATAAGAGATTTTCAGATATGACATTCCCCATTTATCTTAACTATGTAGTTTCTAAAGAAAGAAGACCATAAGTCCTTTTCACAGCCCAGTCCTGATGTTAACTCTTTTGTACAAAGCCTTGTTTTGCTTTGAGCCTATCAGAAACCATTTCGTGTAATTTTACCTAAACCCCACCATTCCTCAAAATCCTATAAAAACCTTTTCTCTTCCTTCGTTCGGTGGGATGCCCTGTGGTCCTGTGCTGTGTGGTCTCCCTGGCTGGAGCACATCAATGAACCTAAGCTTGTTGGACGAGAGATGTGTGGATAGGATGTAGAGAAAAGTGAACCCTGGTGCACTGCTGGTGGGAATTTAAACTGGTACAACTACTACAGAAAACAGTATGGAGATTCCTCAAAAAAAATTAAAAATTAAAATCTTTACCATGTGGGCTTTTTAAGTCATATTATTGGAATTCCGGACGTGCTGCAGGCGCATAATCACTGGCGTCGCAGCAAGTAATCGTTAACCACAGTGGTGATAAATTATAGGATTTTTGTGGTTGGATTGAAAAAGAATGTAGTGTTGATGACTTTTGTGATGCTGAGCCATGCCCTCATCCTAATAGTTTCATGAGTTGTATTTTGTTAGGAACTAGTTTGGGGGCCACTGGATGTTAAGAAAAATTTAAAATTCTGAAAACAGAATACGAGTTCCCTGTTCTCCAAAATGATCCTTAAAATATCCTCCAATCATACGAGTCAGAGATGGGTGTGGGGAAGATTGAGGGAGAAAGGGCAGGAGGAGGATGGGGAAGACAAGGAAGGATTCAAATCCCTCCTCTCTCACTGAGCAGTCGGGTAACATAGAGCAAATACTGATGCTCTGCCAGCCCCACTTCCTCATCTGTAAAATGGGAAGTCTTCTGTCCCTGGTGTACTTTGTAGTCCAGGTTTATCATAAAATCCACATAAACATGAAAGACAGGGGAGATGGATACCATCAATTGAAAAGAGAAAATATTTCAATTGAAAAAGACAGAAAAACTCTAGATGACCAGAGAGCTGGTGGGATTTATTTCTGGAATTTAAAAAGTAATTATCTCTTCTAAGTAGTTTAAATATTCATCTGCCTAAAGCCAGGGAAGACTAGACCAGGTAATCTTTTGGAGTCTCTTACAGCTTTAAGTTGTTTCATTCCTTTGGGTGGTTCAGGTGAAAGGAAAAATCTATCAGATGCATATATTATCCCCCGCTCTTCTTTGCTCCTGGTGCTAAACCCCTATTCAGAAATCCTGTAATCTAGGATGCTTTCCCCTGGACGTGAAGATCAGCTTTTTTTTTTTTTTTTTTAATTTTTTGTTTATTGCAGTAACATTGGTTTATAACATTGTAAAAATTTCAGGTGTACATCATTGTACTTCTATTTCTGCGTGGACTACATCATGTTCACCACCAAAATACTAATTACAACCCATCACCACACACATGTACCGAATTATCCCTTTCACCCTCCTCCCTCCCCCCTTCCCCTCTGGTAACCACCAATCCAATCTCTGTCCCTATGTGTTTGTTTATTGTTGTTATTATCTACTACTTAATGAAGGAAATCATACGGTATTTGACCTTCTCCCTCTGACTTATTTCACTTTGCATTATACCCTCAATGTCCATCCATGTTGTCACAAATGGCTGGATTTCGTCGTTTCTTATGGCTGAGTAGTATTCCATTGTGTATATATACCACAGCTTGTTTATCCATTCGTCCCTTGATGGGCACTTAGGTTGCTTCCAAGTCTTGGCTATTGTGAATAACGCTGCAGTGAACACAGGGGTGCATGTACCTTTGCAAATTGGTGTTTTCAAGTTCTTTGGATAAATACCCAACAGTGGAATAGCTGGATCATATGGTAGTTCTATCGTTGATTTTTTGAGGAATCTCCATACTGTTTTCCATAGTGGCTGCACCAGTTTGCACTCCCACCAGCAGTGTATGAGAGTTCCCTTCTCTCCACATCCTCTCCAACACATGTTGTTTCCTGTCTTGTTAATTATAGCCATTCTGACGGGCGTGAGGTGATATCTCATTGTAGTTTTGATTTGCATTTCCCTGATAGTTAGTGATTTTGAACAACTTTTCATGTGTCTGTTGGCCATCTGTATATCTTCTTTGGAGAAATGTCTGTTCAGGTCTTTTGCCCATTTTTTAATTGGGTTGGTAGTTTTTTTGTTGTTGAGATGCATGAGTTATTGGGGCCGGCCCGGTGGCGCAAGCGGTTAAGATCAGCTTTTAAAGAGCCCCTTCATTCTGAGACAGCCTCAATCTGATGATGAATATTTTTGCCTTCTTTATTATATCTGTTAGGAAATCTGTTTCTGCAGAGGTTGTGGACTACCTGGAAAAAAACAAAAGCTTCTCCTGAATCCTTTCCTACTCTCAATGACATGATATGTGCTAAATAGCACATCTTTTGAGTCTATTTGATACAGTGATGCTCAAATATGCAAGAAGGAACATAAATAAATGGTACTGGTTGCTTACTCTGTGCCGGGCACTTTATATACACAAAGTTATTTAACTTTCCCAGCGAGCTATATTGATAAGTATCAATTTTCCCATTTTGCAGATGAGGAAAACTGAGGGTCACAGAAGTAAAGTTATACTGATGCGTAAGTTTTGCTTTAACATCTACCTTTTACAATTCTTGTTGTAAGGACAATTCCTTTCCAATTTAGTTTGACTCAACAAATAGAAATCAAGTAACAGATATATACTAAACATTGAGTTCAGTACTGGGAGCTAGGATAAATAAACCGTGGTCACTTCGTTGGAGGCAGAGAAATAATCTCAATACAATGACTTATGGGGAGGGACGTAAACTCAGGATGCTATTGGCATACATTAAGGGCACCTAACCTACGTGTGCGTGTGTGTGTGTGTGTGTGGTGGAGGGGTTCGGACAAGACTATTGGAGAAGACTGAGCTGAATCGTGGAAATGACTCAGAGTTAGGTATGTGAAGAAGGTGGAGGGAGGGGGGAGGTAAAAGAACATTCCAGAAAAATGAAAGAACAGGACAAAAGTAAAGACATATGGAAGCTCAAGGCACGTGAGTTACAGTTACTGTGAGAAGTTCAGTGTTGCTTGAAGTAAAACTTAGTGAGGTGTGTTGAGACATGAACCTGGAGATGTGGGCAAAGAACGTGCCACAGAGGACCTGGTGTGCACGGATTTCCTACCATGTGAGCAGTCTAAGGACCAGCCTGGCAGTCCTGTACCACCTGCCAAGACTCGTACCAGGACTCCTACCCGTCTCTCTTTCTCTCTTCTGCCTTCCTCATCTTCTCCGTCTCTTCTACCTTCTTCCTCTTCACCCTCCTTCCTATTCATTGTCTGCTCATCTGTGTACACTAATAAACATGTGCTAATGAATGAATCAGAGAGCAGGAGGTTTGCAGGAAAATTAATTTATTGAAAACAGGGGAGCAGCACATTACACAAGATCATGGGGAGGGTTTGAGCAGCCTCCGGAGTTCAGGATGGGTGTGTGAAGTCCACTTTGGGGACTTTTAAAGGTGGACTTGGCATCCATGGGGACACCTAGGAATTTGGTGAGGTGGTGATAGACATCTGCTTGTGTATCTCAGTGTATCCAAATGGTAAGACATAAAAATCACTGTTGTCACCTTATGAAAAAATCTATTTTTCTTTCAACTTGATTAAAATGCAGAATAGGCGCTTAGGCTCCAGAGTGTTGTTCTGTGGGTACAGAGGGGTTTCAGCAGTGAGAGGTCCTGCAGATGGTGTGGCAGGGGGCAGGCTGGCAGCAGGAGGGGCGGTAGCAGGGGGACTGCACAGAGATGGGCCGGCAGCAGGTGGAGGCCCAGCAGCGGGGCCGGCAGACCACGGCCGTGCAGGACGTGGGGCAGCAGGTGATGGGGCGGCAGCAGCCCTCCTGCAGGGAGCACGGGTCACAGCAGAGGGGGCGGCGGCTGGGCTCGCAGATGGTGCGCGTGTAGCGGGGCACGCAGGTCACGGGGCGGCACACGGTGGTCCGGTAGAACACGGGGCGGCCGCAGCAGGGGTCGCGGCTGAAGCAGGGCTGGCAGCAGCCTCCCCCAAGGCTCCGGGAGGAGAAGGAGGAGCCACAGCAGGAGCCGGTCATGGTGGTGTCTGGGCTGGGTTGGGTTGGGCTGATGAGAGGAGTTGAGTGTTCTCAGGTGTGAATGCCTTCCTCCTGCTCTGCGCCCTTTATATACCCTGGCCCGGTGCTGATGACCCCCAGGACACACGGTCATTTCCTTGTTAATCTTCTGACCAATTAAGTGAGGATTTTAGCCTTGACTAATGGTGTTTTTGGTAATCCTTCGCCTCATACATATCCACGCACTCACACCAAAAATATTCGTTTTCTCCTAGTGTTTATTCTAACCAAATTTAGACATTGGATTGGATTCTGATGAATTTCCCTTTGAAATATTCGTAACTCATAAAAGGAAAAGAATGTGTTTTCTAAATTAGAATAGTATCTAATCACTGTGCCCTTTGGACCTGAAGTTAGCATTTTGTTCCTTGACTTCAAAGATTCTCGTAATTACCACCAAACAGTGACTTGCCTTGTTTACACCCATGCTCATGACAGCAACAGGTTAATAGCAGCACTCCAGTGCAGACCAACAGCCACGCTGCCCAGATGTCTCCTTCCAAGACTCACTGAAAGACAAGTTTGTGGTTTTTCGTATGAGAAGGAACCACAAGGTACTTGGATCCCTGCCACCCTGGTTTAGTCACTGTCCCCCAAGAGGGCCTATGCTGTCGTTTCCTGGTTGTTGATGTCTCCTCATTCACCTGGAATGACCTCCTCATCCTTCCAACCCAAACTCAACTTCTGCCTTGACTGTAAAGCCCTCATCAAGGATCCACTGCAATTTTTATCTTCATAATTTATTTGGGATTAGTCACTGCATGTGGGGAATCTGGGAAGGGACTGCAGGGGATATATAGACCTGTCCCCTCATTTTACAGGAGGGGTTGTGTGTGTTCACCACAGTCACACATGAGGTCACAGAATGAGGTCTGGCGTCCAGGTGTCTTCAATCCTCAGTGAGCAGCCTCTGTGAGTTTTATGTGTATCAGCCTCAGTAGACCAGAGTCTTCAGACAGGACAGAGAGGATCTCAAGTCTTAATGTAGTATCATTACAAGTGATACCAGCAGAGAATTAGGGAAATGTTGTACCCCAATGACAAATAATCCGAGGGGGCCTCAGGACTTCCATGCTGGATCAGGTGTGCACCAGCACAGAGGCTTCCCACTGAGGATCAACCGAGGTGGACTTATGGGGGGCCGGCTCGTTTCCCTGATGTCAGTCTCAAGGTGTAGTCTGGTTTCCCTTGGTAACTCATCGTGGTGCTGTGAGATACACGCTTGTCTAAATCCTTTTCTTGTTGTTTATTGTAACTTCACCCTATACATTACCTTTTATGATGAGTTCCATGAATTCATTTCTTACTTATGAAGTAAATCTACACTTTCCTTTAGATTTGAAAAAAAAAAAGAGAAAAAGAATCCTATCCAGTCAACCCTACTGCCCTAAATGAAAAAAGGAGGGACGAGAGCTTGTAAGCCACCACACAAATGCTTTTTGTATGCCATTTGTCCTGAAATTACCCTCTCAAGCTTTAAGGGGGCGCTTTTTCTTGTCGTCATGGGGGAATTAGTTCCACTTTTGCTTTGACGATACCATGGAAGATATCATGGATGTGACTTATACCAAATTCATTCGCTATATTTCTCAGGCCAAGATTCCCTCTTGGCTCCTTTTATAATGTTAGTTGATTTTTTCACGCATTATTCTAGGAAAAGTATATTATAATTTGGTATAAAGATAATGTTTTCTGATTTGTTTACAAATAGCCTGTTTGGTTATGACCAATGTTCTGTGGACATTTTTGGCCTCAACAGTCCTTTGAATTAACGTCTGGTATCATAGTTTTACAAGGAGTCTTATTTTCTTTTCTGACTAGGCTCTTACTGGAAGCTTACACTCATTGTCCTCTCAAAGCAGTTTATAATAGTTCCCTCTGGATGTATTGTGTCTTTTTGTTGATGCTAGATATTAGCTGCCATTTCTTCTTCCTACTATGTAAAAACTTTAAGTTACCATTTATTGAGGATTTGGTATGTTCCAGGAACTATAATAGCTACTTTACCTATCTTATCTGATTAATCTTCATCATGATCAACTGGGTTAGGGATTATTATCTCCACTTTACGGGTGAGGAATCTGAATCTGAGGGTAACTAATTTGCCCGAGGTCACATGGCTCTTAAATAACAGAGTTTGGATTCAACCCCAGCATGTCCTACCCTTAAGCTTGTGCTTTAACAAATGTGCTTAAAAAAACGAATGGGATTTTCCTCCAATTTTACATGAATAGTGTCACTTTTTACTACACATAAGAGCTTAGTTTTTTCTGTAAACCCACGGATTTATTAACCTATATTCTCCAGAAAGTTTATTAAAATAAAACCAACCCAGCACAAACACTTGGGCATTCTCCTGTTTTTATTTTCTTTATAGAAAACTATCTGCTTATCTTTTCACACTGACTGTCGTATTAAGCTAGTTTCTCATTGTCACCACAGTTGAATTAGTCAGCTATTGCTGCATAACAAGCAACCACAAACTCTTACAGCATACAATAACAAGTATGTATTTCTTGGTCACATTTCTGCAGGTCACTTGGATTTTGACTGATTAAGGCTGGTCCTGGGTTCTGGCTATGGGTTCGTTTGGGACTTCTTCCAAATTAGAGTTGCCAGATTTATCAAATAAAAATACAGATTCTCAGTTAAATTTGAATGTCAGAGCAACAATACATAAATCTTTAGTATAAGTATGTCTGAGTATGCACAGGGAATACTTAACATTAAAAATTTATTTGTTGTTGATCAGAAATTCAAATTTAATGAGTATATTTTAGCTGGCAACCCTATTTCTCATGACACAAGCACAAGGGTGTAACCCCAATCATGCGAACACATTTCAAGTCTTTGCTTGGTCGCATCCTCTCATATCCCATTGTCCAAAACAAGTCACAAGGTGAAGTCCCAGTCATGGAGTGGGGAGAGAGAGAGAGGATACTTCTCCCAGAAGGGTGGGAGGGGGAGAGAATAAATATTAATGAAGAATGATCTAGTCTATCAGAGTGGTGAATCAATTATTTTATTTATTTTTTATTTATTTTATTTTTTTTCCCCCAAAGCCCCAGTAGATAGTTGTATGTCATAGTTGCACAGCCTTCTAGTTGCTGTATGCGGGACACAGCCTCATCGTGGCCGGAGAAGCAGTGCGTCGGTGCCCACCCGGGATCCGAACCCGGGCCGCCAGCAGCAGAGTGCGTGCACTTAACTGATAAGCCACGTTGTTCTGAAGCTTGGACAAAGACTTTTAGAAAGTCAAATTCGATTATGTCCACTGGGTCTCCATTCACCTGCATGACTTTTACCCCTCTTTCTCCTTCTCTTCCTGGTCGACCAAGAAATGTTATTGATTAAACACGGACTGCTTGATTCCTCTACAAGAAATTCACATTGTCAACCTCCTATTAGTTTATGTTAGATTTGGTATTCAAAAGAAAAAAAAATCTCCTGGGGATAGCACTGATTTTAGGAAAGTGGCCATTGATTTAATCAAATATTTCATTAGAAATTGTATTTCATTGCCTACTATAAGTACAGATTATTCCAATGACTAACAGATGAAATTTTCTCTTGGGAAAAATTGATTGAGAGACTTCAGCAATACAGATACTAAGTTAACATGAAATCCCCCTTTGACGTCATATATTTAGGAATTCTGGATACAATTTTTAAAATAATAAATTTTTAGCTTAAAATAAAGAAAATAAAAATCCTCAAGTGCCAGAATGAAGAAGGAACCCCGGACCAGAATGTTCAGTCTGTGAACTGGTGCTGCAGCTTCCTGTGTGCATGTCTGTCTAAAATTCCACCCACACCCCCTTTTTTTTTGTGAGCAAGATTAGCCCTGAGCTAACATCTGTTGCCAAGCCTCCTCTTTTCGCTAAGGAAGATTGGCCCTTAGCTAACATCTGTGCCCATCTTCCTCTACTTTATATGTGAGATACCTGCCACAGCATGGCTTGATGAGCAGTGCATAAGTCTGCTCCCAGGATCTGAGCCTGCGAACCCTGGGCCACTGAAGTGGAGCACATGAACTTAACCACTACGCCACTGGGTTAGCCCCAAATTTCCCCTTTTTATAAGGACAACAGTCATATTGGATTAGGGCTCACCTTAATGACCCCAGTTTAACTTGATCACCTCTGTGAGGACCATATCTCCAAATAAGGTCACATTCTGAGGTACTCGGGACTTCAACATATGAATTTTGAGGAGACACAATTCAACCCATAACAACAGATATACCAACTTACACTGATATCAGCCATAAATGAGATATCTTTTTTCTTCATATCTTCACCAATATTTGGTTTCATCAGTCTTAAATTTTTGCCAACTGACTAGATGTGGATTCGTTTCATTATTGTTTTAATGAGAATCCTGTTTACTAGTGAGGTTAAACACATTTTCATAAACGTATTGGCCCTTTCGGTTTCCTCCTCTGTAAATTGTCTTTTGTATACTTTGCCCATTGACATTTTTTGGCCTGAATTTACGAATTCTTTATATATTATGGATAATATTAATTTATCTGTTTTATATGCCACGAAAATCTCATTCCAATTTATCACAGGGTATTACAAACATTTTAAATTTTATTGAAATCAAATTTATCAATCTTTTTCTTTACGATTTTCCTTTTTTGTGTCTTAAGATACCCTTACTACACTGAAGTCAAAAGGTTTTATATATTCTTTTAATAGTTTTAACGTTCTTATTTAATGTGTAGCTATTTGAGCCATTTGGATTTTTTTGAACATGGTAAGAGGGAACTGATTTTTTTCAATATTGAATGCCATGCCCAATGTCATTTATTCAATTTTCTATAATCTTTTCACTGTTTGTAATGTCTCCTTTCATAAATTCTAAGGTTCCATATAAGTGGAGTCTCTTTCAGGGCTCCCTATCATATTTCACTGATCTATTTGTGCATTACCCCACCAATATCACTCTGCCTCAAATGTTGTATTTTCATAATAAATTTCAATGTCTGATAGGAAAAATCTCTTCTACTTACCTTTCTCAACATTCCTTT